ATTACACATATCAGATCCCATACAGGTCTACTAGGCCCACTGGCTCAAGGCAATGATGAGATTGATCTTTTATTAATTGGAAGTGTGCTAAAAGCCTCTGAATTTCATAAGAAATATCATGCAAATAGCAAAGTTTTGAAAAAGGACTTCTCTATCACTTGGCAACAAGCCAAGGAGATAATGAAAAACTGTCCTACTTGTTCTTTTTATAGTCAAACTCCATTGCCAGCAGGTTGTAATCCTAAGGGCATTCGGAGAAATGAGGTTTGGCAGATGGATGTCTTTCACTTTGCAGAGTTTGGAAATTTGAAATATGTGCATCATACCATAGACACATTCTCAGGGTTCCAATGGGCTACTGCTCTTAACTCTGAAAAAGCTGATTCTGTTATTATACACCTGCTAGAGGTGATGGCAGTTATGGGTATACCTGATACAAATAAAACTGACAATGCTCCAGCATATGTCTCCACAAAATTGGAACAATTTTTCAAATATTATAACAAAAAGCATGTTACTGGTATACCACACAATCCTACAGGACAAGCAGTGGTTGAGCGATCTAATAGAACACTTAAGGAGATGCTCAACAAACAAGCTTGGAAGACTAAACCCCCCAAACATAGGTTGCATAATGCTTTATTAACACTAAACTTTCTTAATGCCAATGAAAAAGGACAAACAGCTGCAGAAAGACACTGGACTACGGAAAAAACTGCTGAACTGAATCAGCCGGTATACTTCAAAGATGTACTAACCTCTGTATGGAAACCAGGACATGTGTTACATTGGGGTAGGGGTTTTGAATTGGTTTCCACAAGGGAAGGAAAACTTTGGATACCATCGAAGTTGATCAAGATTCTAGTGGAAAAGGGAAAAACCACTCAACGAGGAGAAATGACAGGTATTCTACTAAGGTATATCTTATAAACTAAATAGAAACCTCCCAAAGAAAAGGGAAGTGTTTTGCTTTTATCTTCACAGGAAAACTCATCTCCAGAAGGCAAAGAACACTGCCTGAGTAGATACTTAAGAAGAAAAGGTAGCTATAACCATCAAACAAAAGGAACATGCTATATCGTAAACTTTACAGCTGTCTCTCAGAGAACTTTCTCTTTATTTCCTAGTCCCTATTCAGTTAAACCAATGCTGGATTTAGAGGTGGATTTGGCTTTCCTCCTCTAAAATCCAAGCACATTATTTAACTAAGCTTTAGTGTTTCTGTGTTGTATCAAGAAGCCAATTGATGTAATACAGAATAAAAGAAGAATTCGGGGACTGTCTTTGTCTTTTCTTGGATCTTTCTCGCAAGGTGTACACCCTTTCATAATTGTTATGCTCTCATAGTTGCATTCCCCAGCATACACAAGCAAACATTTCTCTGCTAACTGTTTATGTTTGAGTCCCACACAGCCAATGAAGACCTGCCTGACAGCAATCCCTGGACACCCTGGAAAGAAAATGGGCCACGCCTCCTCGACTGCACTGGATCCAACTTGCTCCATTTCAACTGCACTCCAG